AAGACGAGTGAAGCTCAGTTTGGTGTCAAAGAGCTAATCGCTCAAACATCACTCAGATCAGCTGCTCGATCGGACGCACGCTCAGCCTGCGGCGCCGGAGCCCGGCCCACGCTTCCTCAGGTGATGCTTGTTGGTCATGTGACCATGTGGAGCCTGTTAGTTACAGCTCATCGGCGTCTTTGACCTCGGCTCAGTAACGAGACTCCATCTCCATCCTCAGCCGTCCCTGTTGCCGTGACAACACCCACGCGCCTTCATGTTCTCCTCGTTAAGGTCGGTTTGTTCTGCCGCTTTAATGAGGCCGGCTGAAACCGGTGCTCGGCTGTCGGCCTCATTAAACCTCAGCGGCGGCCCTCGGGGTGACCTGAGGCCCCTCCACCCCCGTGCCGCCGCCTGCCGGGCCGCCATAACGCTGCCTCCTCCCCACCACCTCCACATAGAGCCGAGTTCAGACTCCCTGCAGGCAGATAACGATGTAAACCGCTTTAAACTGCAGGGTGACTGCACGCCTCTGTTCAGGAAGGAGGGGGCGGGGCCTTGTCCTCAGCTGAGGCCACAGTCGCGTGAGCAGCAGGAAGTGGGCCTGCGTGCGTCAGACTGTCCCTTTAATGTGATGAAACTCTGATGAAACGCAGGGAAAGATGCAACGCGGCGGCGTTTAACCCTTTCTCCTTGAGATGCTTCGTGTTTCTGTTTTTAACGTCTTCGCCCGCTGAAGGAGGTCGTTTCAGGTGTCAGCGCCGCTGTGAACACGAGGCCGTCAGTCAGCGCTTCTGCTCACCTTCGACGCTTTGATTGGAGCGCTAAAGGTTGTTCCAGAGGTCACCGACGTGTTTCATCGCTTTCAGGGTGACAAAGACGACCACTTCCTGATGCATCATGGGTAACTGAACCTGCACTTTGCTGGTTACGTAGCGTCACACTGACGATCCTAGAACCGAAAAATGACCTTTGTTTTAATCTTTGACTAATAATCAGCTGACCAATCAGAGCGAGGCATAGACTCTGGACGCCAGGGGAATGAAAACACGCCGAGTGTCTGAACTCTTCGACAGGATGATGAAGATGAGCTGTCTGAGGTGACCTTCAGGTAGATCTTCCTCTGCAGCTGTCGCTTCATGTTTGTCTACCCGAGGCGCTCGGCAACACCTCCACACAAGCAGCAGCCAATAAAAACGCGGCTCTAAACCCGCCACCTCAGACAGACAGCTGACGCTCCGAACGTGGAACCTGGGTGAGGCCGACCAGACGGTTTGTTTACACGGAGCGACATCAGGGATTCAACCACATTTAAATGTGCAGGTGTGTAACATCTCTGAGCAGCAGCTGACTCAGCATCAGCCGACCAATCAGCAGCCTCCGCAGCTGCTGATGAAACCTCGTAAGTGCAGCTCACCAACTGAAGGAATCATGTGACACCCCCCCCACACACACACCTCCATCACCTGCTTGAACAGGAGCAGGTGGAGGCTGAACACGCTTCAGGCCCAGGATGAAGACGAGGACGAGGAGGAAGCTGCAGCGCTTCAGGAAGTGAGGTCACAGTGGGTCGTTTGATCCCGGAGGCGAGCTGTGATGATGAAGGTCCAGATGGAGCCGGTTTGAGGGAGTTTTCTGCAGCGTCTCCTCTGCGAGAGTGTCGACCTCAGCGCTGCCTGAATAATTGATCACGCCGCTCGGGCGGGCGGGCGGGGCGCTGATGAAAATTTAAAGACTGTGCGCTTTGCTAACGGTGAAAAAGGTGCAGGCAGCGTTTTAAATGGACACTGACATTTCCTCTGAGTGTCCCGCGCTCAGGTCACATTTCTTCTGCTGACCTCTGACCCCTGCCTGCCTCGGAGGGGGCGACGGTCATATGACCTCCATCTTAGACTGCAGACATCAAGTTTAGATCAATTTCACTCTGATTGTTACACACACACAGACACACACACAGACACACACACACACACACACACACACAGGTAGGCTCTGCCTGCACAGCAGCAGCTTCGAGCGCCGCACCGGCGGCTGCAGCTTCTCGAGCTCGTGAACAAAGGTGACGACGTCACAGCTACAAACATCACAACATTAGCACAAAGCTAACGCTGTTTATGAAACTGCTGAATCGCATCATAAGTGTGCTGCTCTCAGCAATCCCTGTGTCTGTGAAATTATTATGATACGAGCAGAAAATCTTCACGTTCACTCTGAGCAGCTGCACACGTGTGTTCGGCGCATGAAGATAAACAGCAGCTGGTTACAAAGTTGACAGAGATGTAAATCTGTGCTGCTGAGACTCACTTCCACCTTTTATTTCAATGCAATGAATTAAAAAGTGTTACATCCTGTCATATCACTCTTTATGTAGTGGACACAAATGCAGAACGCAGTCGTTTGACCATGAAGCGTGAGAATGTGTATTAAAGCAGAACGGCGGCATGTCGGCGGCTTACGTCTCTGTAAGCAGGTCCTTGTCTGTGGTTGGTTGGAGCTGAAGGTGCAGTATTGGAGGGTGTGGGCGGTGGTAATGTGACGATGCAGCAGCTTTTTGGCATGAAGCGTATTCTTAGGGACTGGAAACGACTCCATCAAACACTCCACCTTTGCTCAGGTGGGTGACGCCCTGTCACCAAGCAACAACCCATCATGATCTCCTCTTTAAACTGAGCGCGCAGCGATGAGTCAAACCCAATAATCTTTAGTGGCCCAAAATGCAACAATATTGGAAAGCTGTAACTGGGGAGCGCACACACCTTGGACATTAATGGAAACCCAGTTGTTGTCATTCCTCAGCATCTGGGGTGGGGGCACGTTTTAAGGGAATCCAGGCTCCGTCCATGCAGCCTGTGGCTCCTCCCATATTCATGTGGTGGGTTGCAGCATCAAACTCAAGTGGCCGTGCACACTCTGGGAACGACGTTCCACACTGTTGCTCACTGACCCCACATTAGTCCCCAATTTCTCAGTTATGTAAAGTTCTGAGCAGCTGAAGACTTACAGGAACGGGTCGCCTGCATTCAAGAACGACCTCAAGAACTGATGTCATCGAAAATCGCAGCGGGTCACTTCTGTCAACTTCTTACCTGGCTCATTATCGAGTGACAACAGACAACCAAACAAATCTAACCTGCTGCTCAGGAGCTCCGCCTGGACTCCAAACATCGGCAAAGCCAGCAGCAAGACTCCGCCCCTCAGCCCCTCCCACACACCACAGGATTGAAACTAGAAAAAAAGAAGCGATATCTGTAAAAGAAGCTGGTGGCGATAAAGTTTATCCAAAAGAGAAAACACAAGAAAGCGTTTTACTCGGCGTTGCCATCGTTCAGTATCAAAGTGAGCGTCGCTGTTGGGCCCACACAGCGCCCCCTGCAGGCCAACGGGAAACTGAAACATCAAAGCGTAAGAAGCAGAGGTGCCAGCGAGAACCAATCAGAGCTGCCGAGTCAGAGAACAAGTCAAACTTTTTTGAAATCAAACATTTTATTTCAAGATTTTTACACAAAGCAGGAAAAACAACAACACAAAATCTACACAACATTCAAAACCTTTGACATCACAGTGACATCACAGGCCTGCGAGGAACCACATGCGAGACGGCAGGATGTCTGAAGGAGTCATGTGACGCGTGATGTGCTTGAATGATTAGAGCAGGGGTCCCCAATCCCAGGCCTGGAGGGCCGGCGTCCTGCAGGTTTAGACGTGTCCTTGATCATCACAGCTGATGTAAACGTCTAAACGACCTCATCAACATGTCTGAAGTTCTCCTGGTAACGAGCTAATCATGTGACTCAGGCGTGCTGACCCAGGGTGGATCTAACACCTGCAGGACGCCGGCCCTCGAGGACTGGGATTGGGGACCCCTGATTTAGAGGAATCATCTGGACGCACTGGTGATGTCAGCGCACAAAAAACATACTGACCCGTGACCCCTCCCCCCTCTGGCGATGACATGTATGAGACCTTCGGGCTCGCCGCACTCGACCACATGTGTTAAGGTTTCAGGCTGCCGCTGATCATGTGATCAATGCCTCAGTCTTTAGACCGGACCGGGGGGGGAGGGGTTCCTTTTCAGCTGATTGGTTGCTACAATCAGACTAAACTAAGTGCTGGTACCGACACCATGTCACTTCCTGTTTTGCACGCCATGGCAGCGGTCACGATTACATCACCGATGATGATTGCACTACTGGAAAAGATGTGGGCGGAGCCTCCTTTTTGTCTTTGTAAATAAATGTTACATGATGTCAGTAAACCAACAAACCAATCACAATCAGCCGTTATGGCATCATCACCTTGCTCAGCCAATCAGAACAGACCTGTGAAGTGTGAGCTAATAGAAAGGGTGGGGCTTAGTGTCCTCATAACAGATGACTGCTCTGATGTCAGTTTGACAGGAAGCTGTGAGTGGACGTGCTGAAGTAGAGCATGATGGGAGGAGCCTAAAGATCACGCCTGATGAACCAGAGCTCGTTCCGGCGTCGCGGCACACCCGGGTTCTCGTACACGGCCACGGCGTACCGATCGCTGTGCAGCTCATCAGTGGCGCCGAGAATCTCCCACAGCAGCAGGATCTGGCGGCCTACCGTCTCCTCCGTGGTCGTCCCGAAGAATGGCCTGCAGCCAATCAGAAAGCAGAGTCGTTAATTTGACGCACACCCACCAGCTGATGACTCGGGACCTGTCTCAATATTCGTACTGGTGACACGTCATTAGTCGGAGACCAGCTACCGTTCCAATTCAAAGCATCAAGCCGAGAAAAAGTGTTCTCGCTCCGCCCGTTTCATCGAGCACGCATCGGCGGTGACTTCTGTGTATTTGATACAGCTAAATATCCCAGAATGCATTTCGTCCAAAACTCAAACGCGGCTAAAAAGACCGTCGCTTTCTGGGTCACAAAGTAAACTAGAATGTAGCTGAACTTCAAATATCTGCTCGATTTATCAAGATGTGCATTTGTCCAAACGAGCTCCGACGTTTTCGGAGACGTCTGTGACCCGCCAGCTCCACAGCAGACCGGGAGGTCGAGGGTCACTGTAGCCGGCGAGAACAGCGGACTCGCGGCACATCGTTTTCAACCCCCCGCGGTCTTTCGCTACTCAGGTTAGACATGATATATGAGTCTCTTGGATCAGTGTTTTATTTGTTCCTAAACCGGTTTGCTGAGATTAAAGTTAAGCTTCTTAACATATTACTCACAGTTAAATTAAGGACGGCAGTAAAAATGCCGGACCGGTGACATCATCAAGTACGCTGGCGTTCCAATTGCACGAATCGCGAGTCCGTGCTCGAGTCCTGCTCGCGTCCTCAGCAAGTCTGGACTTGCGTACTTGAGAACTGAGAAAGGGCTTCAGCGTTCGACCATCTGACGGGTCACTTCCTGTCACCTCTTCATGTCTGCTGATGGTTGACCACAACAGCCAATCAGTGCTGAGCTCGCTGCTGCACTTTAACCTCTGCAGCTTCAATCATTTCATTGTCATCATTGTCTGATGTCACATTTCCTGTTCAGGTTGTCTTCTGTGACCCCGCCCACATCACAAACCACAATGAGCTTCTCACCTGGTGACCACTCTGATTGGCTGTCTGTAGACGATGCTGATGTCAGGGTCGCAGGATTGCGGCGGGCTGTGCTGGAGCGCCGCGGGAAGGAAAAACGCCGTCTCCACTTCCTTCTCAAATGTCTTGCCGTCCTTCGCCATACGGATGTAACTGATGACGGGTACGGTCATCCCCAGGTATCTACCTGTACATGAGCAACAACACAATCACGTGACCTGCAGGCATCGATCGCAGCTGAACGGTCCAGCAAGCGTGCGGTGCGGCTGGCGGGTGGCGGGCGTAGCCTGACCTGCAGAATTCTCCTTGCAGATGAAGCGCATCAGCTTCATGAAGGCCGTGGAGATGCTCTGCTCGTACAGGTCGTCTCCTTGTGTCACGGACGCCCAGTGACCCGCCGGGTACAGCCGCTCCTCGTACTGCACCTCACCCATCTGTGGGTGGTACCACACGTCAGCACTGACGGAGAGGGGGCGGGGTTAGGGGTAGGGTCAGGGCATTTACCTTCTCGTGGCTTGAGATGGTTGTGAAGGGGAGGGGCTCCCTCTGCTGGCTGTTGCGTGTCATTTCCTGTATGGGTCCTCTCATTTCTGGAAAACAGAACAGGAAGTTTTCTGTGCAGTAATTAATTACACAGCAGTGAAGAGAAGATGTCATCACAGTAGACGTCTTTCTGAAAGTGCGGTAACTGACTTTAAGGATGTAATCATTTAACCACCTTCTTCACTCACTATGTGTTAACAGACCTCTCTGCATTGAATCATATCTGTTATTAATAGGGATGGGTACCGGTGTCCGGTGCCATGATGGCACCGGTTCTGACATAAACGGTAGTAACCAGACCGAAATGCAGCGCACATTTCGGTGCTTTTTTTTCCTGAGATGTCACACACTTTAGATTCTAGCCAATCATTTTACGTTTCCGAGGATAGTAGGCGGGTCCAGGTACGTACGTTCTTTTAGAGCAGAGCTACAGATTAAAAA